CAAACGTTTGAGCGCTTCCTGTTTCTATGATTCACCGCTCTTAATCTATTACCTATCAACACAGATATCGGCAAAGCTACTGGCAGGCAGGGCCCCGACATGTCCTGGAAAGAGTTGAGAGTGCCATACGCCCTTGAGCCTGGACCCATCACATATCAGTAAGAGTTTGTTGTGTTTTGTACACACACATCCTTATCAGGCTTCGGAGACTGCAGAAGCCCCCTCGAAGGGAGGGGAGGTGGTCGACGTAGGCACGGTGATGGAGACGGGCTAGATGGTGCGGGGGTAGAGGACATGTTGCCAGGGGGGGGAGGTGGTTGACGTAGGCGCGGTGATGAGGACGGGGGAGATGGTGTGCGTCTCCGCGGTGATTTTGGTGGGCGTCGTTGAGGAGCGGGGGTAAAGGACATGGTGCCAGCCCTGCGTATCGCCTTCGTTTGGTCTTTGAACTCCAGGAAGGAATCGGTGCCAACCCTCTGTATCTCCTTTGTGTGTTCATCGATCTCCAGGAGGGTGGGCGAGGGTGAAAGGGTGAACGGAGTATCCTCAAAGGCGTTGACAGGGGGGGGGGGGGCAGTGGAGACTCCTCCATGTGTCTCATATGTCTCCCATAATCAGAACATTCCTCAGGCGGGTGCAGTGATAATTCTTCAGGGTTTTCTGAGCGATGTGTTGTGTCTTTCTCGTGTTTTGATTCCTCTTGCCGCTTGTCCTTGGCAGAGGGAACAGATTGATGACGCAGGCAGTTGAATATGTTAGAGATAAACAATTTCACTCCTGACTTGTTCAGGCAAACTCCATTTGCCTTGAAAAGATGTCTGCGATCCCAGAAAAAGTTAAAATTGTCAATAAAATGAACAGAATGGTCAGTACAGGCCGTTGAAAGCCAGGTGTTCAGTGCAAACAATCTGCTGAATCTCTCCACTCCTCTTCTGACTGGCGGTAGAGGGCCACTGATGAACACCTCTGCATTTAGAGAGCTGGCAGTTTCCAACAAACATTTAAAGTCTTCTTTCAGCACTTCTGACTGTTGTTTCATAACATCATTTGTTCCAATGTGTAGTACCACATTCTTCACAATCGGATGTTCAGCCCCAATATGCAGGATCTTCTCAGCCAAGTCAGAGACCACATCCTTGGGAAAACAGAGTACTTTGGTGTTGTTCTTATTACACAGACCTTTTACATCTCTTACAGCAGAGTCACCCACAATCAGAGTTTCAGGCCCAGTCGTTAGCTTTCCCTCTAGCCTTTTACTTTTAGAGTAGCTATTGGTCCTTACCCTGCTGCGTGAAGAGGACAGGTTATCCAGGTCATCAGATCTCCGGTTCTCGGTCAGCGGAGCGTATCTGTTCTGGATTGGCACACTCGGTGGTTTAGGAGGATTGTTTGTAATTCTCCCTTTAGCAGCTGTCCACTGCTGTTTCCTAGTATGAATAGGGGTTGAAGAGGCGCTCTTCCTGGGTGATAACAATGCAGGCCAGCACAGATTTCGGAGCTCTGGGCTCTGCCTGTTATCCGTCCTCCCAAATCCCATGGAAGTGATTTACTCTTAGGCTTTGCACCCAGAGAGTTCCAGGGAGGACTACCACTTGTAGATTTATTACCCGGTACACAGCCCTCCTGTTCCTTGGAATCCTTGTAGCTGCTAACTAGCTGTGAGTTAGCATACCCTTCTCCATTACTTTGCAACACTGGTAAAGTCGTGTCATTCCCACGACATAGTCCATTCACTTCCACGTTAACTTCCAACCGTTGCATTTTCATTTCCAACACAGCCATCTTCTGTATAATTTTCTGGAAGTCATCTGTAGAGAACGGAGGCATTTTGCTACCAACTAGCTTAAGCTAAATAGCAGTAGCCTACCAGGCTTTAGCTGTTGCTAGGCCACGCTATTGTAAGACTGACGTCGTCGTAAAAATGTTGAAATATGGCTGAAACCCTCCGTCTATTTACGAAGATGAACTGTCCCAGTGATAAGTTAATGTCCAGGAGCCGCTGCTCGAAGTTTTCAGAGAATAAGAATAGGAAAATCAGCATAAAAAGTAAGCAGAGGCAAGAGCAAGCAGAAAAGCGTCTGCACTGCACCCCCTATTGTGTGGTAGTCGCATATAGTTTCTCAGAACTTCACGAATTTTGGCACAGACATTCCTCATGGAATTGCGGACATATTTGTATATACATTCCATTAGTCCCGCCCCCCAAAAAGTCGGCCATTTTGAAAAATGTGCGTTTTTTTATGCATTTTAAGCACATTCGTGCGAACTCCTTCTAGGGGAATGATCGGAAAAATTCCAATCCAGGACAACTTCAGCGCATATCCAATATGATACTTAATTGAGAAGAACATTTTTGATAGCTCAATCGTGGAGGTCGTAAGCTAACAGCGAATACACCATTTTTGATGATTTACATGTCGCAAATTACTCCAAACTACTCGAATATAGTTAATCCGATATTCACGGAACGCTGTATACATATTTCTATTATGATTGCACACAAATTTCAAATTGCTTTCCATTAGCCCCGCCCCCCAGAAAGTTGGCCATTTTGAAAAATGTGCGGTTTTCAGCCATTTTACGCACGTTCTTGCGAACTCCTCCTAGGGGAATGATCGGAAAAATTCCAATCCAGGAAAAGTTCAGCCCATTTCCAATGTGATGCTAAATTGTGAAGGCATAGTCGATCGCTCAAACGAGGACTTCGTAAGCGAACGGAGAACTTTCCATTTTTCACGATTTACATTTCACAAATTACTCCAAATGACTCCAAACTACTCGCGTATACTTTTTCCAATATTCACGAAACGCTGTATACATATTGCTATTATGATTGCACACATATTTCAAATTGCCTTCCATTAGCCCCGCCCCCCAGGAAGTCGGCCATTTAGAAAAATGTGCGTTTTTCATGCATTTTAAGCACATTCTTGCAAACTGCTCCTAGGGGAATGATTGGAAAAATTCAAATCCAGCACAAGTTCAGCCCCTATCCAATATGATGCTAAATTGAGAAGATTTTTTTGTATAGCTCAATCGTGGAGGTCGTAAGCTAACAGCGAATACACCAATTATTACGATTTACATGTCACAAATGACTCCAAATGACTCCAAACTACTCGCGTATACTTTTTCCAATATTCACGAAACGCTGTATACATATTGCTATTATGATTGCACACATATTTTAAATTGCCTTCCATTAGCCCCGCCCACCAGAAAGTCGGCCATTTTGTTTTTCATGCATTTTAAGGACATTTCTGCAAACTCCTCATAGGGGAATGATCGGAACAATTCCAATCCAGGAAAACTTCAGCGCATATCCAATGTCATGCTACATTTAGAAGGAATAGTCCTTCGCTCAAACGGGGAGCTCGTAGGCTAACGGAGAATGTACCATTTTTGACCAGATTTGTATGTATTTATTTATAATTTATTTTTTCACACTAATTTTACCTGCATGTCGGTTTTTCGCAAAGTCAACCTCGGTCCTTTTAGCCAGATGTTTTTAATCCACTCACCAGGTCTTTTACCAGATGTTGTGGGACACAGCCTCGGACACCCCACCCGGGGGGCTCCCTCGGGGGGGCAGGAGTACAGGTTTTAACCCCGCCACATACGCTCTGTGCTTCAGCTAATCTCTTCTATCCCTTTTATTGCATTTTCTTTACAACATGTGTCCCCTCTTCTTCATGTCTCTTCTACATCAACATGTGTCCCCTCTTCTTCATGTCTCTTCTACATCAACATGTGTCCCCTCTTCTTCATGTCTCTTCTACATCAACATGTGTCCCCTCTTCTTCATGTCTCTTCTACATCAACATGTGTCCCCTCTTCTTCATGTCTCTTCTACATCAACATGTGTCCTCTCTTCTTCATGTCTCTTCTACATCAACATGTGTCCCCTCTTCTTCATGTCTCTTCTACATCAACATGTGTCCCCTCTTCTTCATGTCTCTTCTACATCAACATGTGTCCCCTCTTCTTCATGTCTCTTCTACATCAACATGTGTCCCCTCTTCTTCATGTCTCTTCTACATCAACATGTGTCCCCTCTTCTTCATGTCTCTTCTACATGCTTTTTTTAACACAGACCAAACAGGGCTTTTATAAACTTGTATTGGTTTTATTACAGGAGTTTTTAAATCGGTTTTTAAACTAAAATATTTACCCGAGAGCCCGTGCACCAGGATGCGCTCCTACGTGCCCCGCGCGTTAACCCTAACCCTAATGGAGGAAAAGAGAGGGTTTTATTTTCTGACACTTTGTGAGTCTCCTGACACAGAATACTTACTTCCGGGTGTAAAATTCTCCGTTATCCAATGGGAATGGACGCTCACATTGCCTTTAACTGCCGCCGACATAAATGGATGCGGTGCTTCACTGAGAGTCAAATACCGCCGCCGATGGGAATACATTGCAATCAGTTGAAAGCTCTTTGCGTCCGTTTATGAAGCTGAAGGAGCCTCGGCGCGTCACAACTGGACGCCACGGTCACCCTGACCAAGCGTCGCTCCTGGACGCTTAGGGAGTGAGAGTGTGTTGATAATGCCATTGTAAAGGGGTGAAAAAGGTTCCCGAAAAAAAGTTCTAGTTCCAGATCTTTTTGGTGTGAACGCAAAATCCCAGGAACTATCGGAACTATTCCTGGGAAAAGTACTCCGGTGTGAAAGCGCCTATTAGCATAAAGCTCTCTGAGCAGGGTCGGTCAAAGTAAAAGTGTTGGCCCAGTCTAATGACAAACAAATGACTACACCCAATGACCAGGTTAACATGTGTGGCGTCTGACATCGATTCAGCGCCCTGACTGCCGGCTGTCCACAGCTTATATGGGCAACAACAGCAAGTCGTCCATCTTTGGTAGAGTAAAGTAATCTGACAGACAGCAAGTCTCCTCGCTCTGCTTCACTTAATGCACTGAAGGAGGAAGCAGCCTCTGCAGTTACCAGCGTGTTGTTGTTCATACCTGAAGATATAAAAGTGAGGGAACCATCATATACCTTGAGAGGGAGCAGCTGGCTGCGTTTGAGAGCAGGAAGGAAGGGAACAGGCTTTACTGCACAAAGAGGAGCAGTGTGTGTCATCTGTCGATTACAATAAGCAATAAGTAACTGACGTAAAATGCTAACTGTTACAACAATATTAACAATCAATAATGTCATATATTATAATATAGCACATATGAAATACATTTTCCTGCTAAATTAGTCCCCTTACTTTTGATACTTTAATAGTGAGAGTAAGTGTGGTTTTAAATGCATTTACTTGTAAAGGAGTCTTTGACATTAATCGTATTGGTACGTTTACTGAAGCAAAGACTCTGAATACTTTTTCCTCCAAAGCAAAGTACAAGTTGTCTGATCCTCCTCACAGTCTAAGTGTCTGTTACTTTATATAAGAACAAGGTCAACGTCTTCTTTAATATCAAATATGCCAAAAGGTGGCACAGGAATGAGTTCTAAAACCAGCAAATGATTCAGCATGTTGGCACTTCCTGTGTCCTTGATATTTGTACATCGTGTTCTACGACATTGATCAAAAACCCTGCACCACTGTAAATAAGGAGAGTTATCAAAAGTATTGTTGACATCATATCAAAGTAATATCACCAAAAGTAAAATAATAACGGCCAACATTAAAGAAGCAACTGAAGATTTCAGAGAGAAGTATGATATCTGTAACTGAATATGTCATAACAGAGCTTAGAAACAAATGATCTCATTTATTTATTTGATAGGGACAATTAATGACCATCTGTATAAAGCCTGATGCCAATGTACGTCCGTAGTCCCGAAGCAGGTAAAGAACACAGACACATTACCAGCAACAATATCCAATCAAAAACATACAATACACAAGTACAAAGACAAATTCAATGCATGTGTGTTGCCTCAAAGATTAGTCCTACGTTGAGATCTCTTTAGATCAGATCCTGGTTCTAACAGAAGTATTCAGTGTGTTTGAGATTTGTAGGAAACTCACCAGAGATTCTGCTGTTTGTTGAGAAAAGCCTGAGAGCGTTGATTCTCCTTCAGAGAGAAAGAGAGAAATGCTGTCTCTGACAAAATGTTCACCTTTATCTGAAGACGTGGCTTTCAAGCACTGAATACAAAAAGAAGACGGACCGGATCACACCTGTGACGGGTGTGGGTGTGACTGGGTGTGACCTATGGGTGTGACACAACAATAGCTGGGGATTGTGGGTAGTGTAGTCTCTTTGGCGCTCCACATTTCAGAGGAAACAAGTTGTTTCTCAGAATCGAAGGGGAAAAACACAAAAGCATTGTTCAGACTTTAAACCAATCAATGTCGTTTAATTAACAAAGGTAATCTGGTGTGTTTGAGTTGATGAGTAGTGCAGATATCACGGTCAGATCAATCGACAGTAAGGGGAATACTTACTTCCGGGTGTACAATTCTCCGTTATCCAATGGGAATGGACGCTCACATTGCCTTTAAGAGCTGCCGATGCGGTTCTTCCCTGAGCGTCAAATACCGCCGCCGATGGGAATACATTGCAATCAGTTGAAAGCTCTTTGCGTCCGTTTATGAAGCTGAAGGAGCCTAGGAGCGTCCCAACTGCACGCCACGGGACCCTGACCAAGCGTCGCTTCTGGACGCTTAGGGAGTGAGAGTGTGTTGACCGTGCGTCGGCCACAAGCAGTCGGACAAAGAAATCACTCTGATTGGCTGTTCAGCTAGCGAATCAGTGCATGAGAAGCGAAACGGTTGCTTGAGAATGTCTTCCACAAGCAACACTCCAATCAGGGGCGGACCTAGCACATTTGGTGCCCAGAGCCGGCCAGGGGCCCGTGCAAAACAACTACCGTAGGGACCGAGGATTCGAGGAGTCGAGGAGGGGGAATGAGTGAAATGAGAATGGCTCTTGGATGTGGATCCTAAAGTGTATCATGGGTATTGTCTGTGATGTCAGGCTGTGTGCAGTTGGCCCTGAGCAGCTTGTGTGAGCAGCCACCAGAGGGCAGCATGGTGCAGGTTTGAACCAGCAGCTGACAGGAGGCTGATGGGATGTTAAACCCAGCAAAGATAACAGCATGCAGCTCGCTCTGTAGTATGAAACAGATTGATACACATAGACACAAAGAAATACAACATGCAGTACAGGTTGATGTGTGGATGGAAATATACACAAAGGATGCACTCTGTTTAGTGAGGGGATGTCTTGATTCATTTTGAGGTCCCTTTGAAGTAGTGGAGTAGTCTTGGGTCCATTATTCAAGTTTATGTGTCTGTTTATCTGTAGTCGCTTTCTGTCTGTTTGTAGTTATTTTATGTTGTGGGGTTTTGCATCTATTTTCCTTTATTTATGTTGTTCCACGTGTTGTGGGGTTTTGCATCAACTTTGTCTTGTTGGCTCTCATTGTAATTGCTGCTTATTTATTTCCCGTTGTTTTATGTTTCTTTGTGTTCGTTTAGAGTCAGTTTTCCGTCAGTTTGCATCTTAGTATTGAGGTCTGTGTTTAATTCAGTAGTAATGGATTGTATTTGAGTGGTGAGTTTCTCTCTTTGGGGCGCTTTAAGTCGATATCTAAATAGCTTTACACCTCATGTTGTTGATGGTTTTGTTTGTGTCTCCTGGTTGTTGTTTTGCATCGATTGTATTTGTTCTGTATTTGTCTTTGTAGAGTTTCTGCATCCAGTTTTCTTGAGTGTGTGTGAGAGAATTAGAACTGAGAGATTTTAGCCTCTGCCGACCGTTAACATGCACTGAAACCTACATACCTCACTACAGGAGAGCATGATAGGGTCTCTTTGACCCTTCTCTTGCGTTTGACTTCGTTTTTGATCATAAATATTGTGTTTTTCATCCAATTGCCTCAAGACCTCATGTTATCCTCCACACTAGGCCTCTGAACAGAGACACGTGATGATCACCACTTGCATTCATTTTTTAGTGATACAACTTAATACAACTAATGGATCAACCGACTAGAATAACCAAAACCCCCAAGACTATGATAGATTTATTATTCACTAATAAAGCTGACAGAATAGTTCAAACCTCCTGACTGGTCTTTCTGACCGTAATCTTGTTCTTTTTGCCAGGAAACTCACAAAGAAAAGGTTCATGGCCTCAGCTAAAACCCCTGCCTTGGGTTCACGCTTCATCCCCAAAAACCTGCAACAACGTTTTATGGATGCAGCGAAAATGATTGATTGGGGGGACACTCTATCCTCTGAAGACATTGGTGAAAACAGTGATCTGTTTATATCTCAAATTAACGAAGCAAAGTCTTCCTCCTCAAGGAGAGGGTGCCTTAGGGACAGGAAGGAACATCATCTTCCCTGGCTGAATCTACAGTGCAGGAATTTAATGAAATCTAGAGACCAACTAATGAAGCAGAGCTTGAAATCCGGACTATCCACTGACAGACAGAAATGCACTCGTGCTCGTAACAAGGTAACACAAACACTAAGACAGGCCAAAGCTAACTTCTTCATCGATATAATTGAAGGTGTGAAAGGTAACTGTTACGACTGGAGCACAAAAAACTGATAGGACCCAAATGCACGACTCCAGACAAAAGATGATTCAAAAAAGGTTTTTACTGCAGTGATAAGCATGGTCATCCATTCACAAGGTTCAAAAACGACCTGGCACTTGGCACAGGGAACACACAGAATATATACACATACAAGGGACTCCACAGGTGCAAACAATAAGGGCGGGGCAGGTAATCAGGTCAGTGAACAAACTGACAAGGTAGGAGTCGAACTACCTGAAATGAGAAAGGAAATAACAAAGTAAAACAGGAAATGGCAGACACGGACTTGACAATATAAACTAACAGAGAAATAATATTAACAAATCCTACGAGACACAACAGTAACAGTAAAAACGTTTGGCTAATCCTAAATAAACTATTAGGTAAACATAAGAAACAGGAAAATAATGCTCTAGAATTAAACATCAATGATGCCCTGATGAAAGATCCCTGCAGTGTTGGCCAGCTCTCAATGAGTATTTCATAAATAGTGCTCTGGACATCACAAAGCTCTTCCCGCCATCTGAGGTCTCACCTAGCCCGACTGTGGATACACACCCAGTTTTTGACCTGGAGGAAATCACAGAGGTTGAGGTCAAACATATCATCTCAGGGTTAAGAGGTTCTGAGGCTAGGGATGCAGATGATTTAGACACCAACTTTATAAAGACACATATTGACGGTCTAATAAAACCAATTACTATGTTAGTAAATCAATCTATCAGCACGAGGGAAGCTCCATCGTCCTGGAAGGTTGCCACGGTGACACCGATCTTTAAATCTGGGGATAAGGCAATGATGTCCAATTACAGACCAATCAGCATCCTCCCCTGTGTCTCTAAGGTAGCTGAGAAATAGGTGTCAAAACTAATCACCAAACATTTAGATAAAGGTTTCGCTCCACTCCACCCAATGCAGTTTGGTTTCCGTGCTCTCCACTCCACTGAGACAGCTAACTGTGTCTTTGTGGAAAAGGTTCAATGTATGTTGGACACGAGCCCATATGTAGGTGCTGTCTTCCTTGATCTCAGGAAGGCTTTTGACACTGTTGACCACCAAGTGCTCCTTGCAAAGCTGACGTATTTCAATTTATCGGCAGATTCAATACAGTGGGTTGAGTCTTACTTATCGAACAGAAAACAGTGTGTTTTGGTCAACGGAGCCAAATCCCCCGACCTTGTGAACCCTGTTGGGGTTCCACAAGGTTCCATTCTTGGACCATTACTGTTTTCTCTGTACATGAATGACTTGCCCAATGTGTGTCCTGAGTTGAATGTACAAATGTATGCCGATGATGCGGTCATCTTTGTACAGGGGAAAAACACTGAAATGATCTCATCCTGTCTCTCTAATGCTTTGGACAAGGTTCACCTCTGGCTGAACAACACTGCTTACAGTTAAATGCAAAAAAAACAGCATGCATGATGTTCAGTAAACGACCAGTCAAAACCGAAGGATCCAATGTGTTTTTAAACGGTGCAGAAATTGAACTGGTCCCCACTTCAAGTATCTTGGAGTCATACTGGACTCAAACTTGACTTTTAAGAAACATATTAATAAAGTATCCAATACCATTCAATTCAACTTGCAACATTTTAAACAAATCAGACCTTTCTTAACAGTCGATGCTGCAAAGTCAGACCTCCACTGTGTGATTCCATCCCACATTGAATACTGTTTGACAAACTGCTCGTTTGCTTGAGCCACAAACCTGAAACCCAGAGAACAGCTGTACACGAGAGCTATCCAGGTGTTTGACAGAAAGCCACATTCATACCACCTCTGCACCATCCTGGAGAAACACCATTTCTTGAGTTTTGACAATTTAAAGTTTTTTTCCCTTAGGGGAATGAATCCACAGAAAACACACTGGACGCTGCACTAGGTCAGAAACCAGAGGAGACTGTGAAGTCCACCGCAGACGGACCACTTTTGGACAAAATGTCCTCTCCGTTAAAGGCAGCTCTTTGTGGAACAGCCTCCCAGCTGAGATACGGGATTGTCCCACTCTCAATAGCTTCAAAGGTCAACTCAAAGAATGGATGAGAAACAAACAGATGTGCGATCACCGCTAAATGCACTTTAACACAGGGGTATCTCCTCCTGCACTTTATATATCGTAGCTGCTACATTGTACTGCCTTGTGGTAAATGCTTGTACTGTATGTGCGGCTCATGCTCTTCCTGCATATCATGTATTTGTTTTTGCTATGTTTACAAATGTCATGTTCTTATATGTTGTATGTCAGGGACTACGGATGGAAATGAGCTCAAAGCTAAAATCCGGCATGTTTACATTTTGAAGCATTATTTGTTTAAAGTGTTCATCAATGTCCCTGTTCAAATAAACCATTAAATACAAATGAAATGAGTTAACAGACCAGGAAGCGGCCCCTGAGGGAGAGGCCCCTGAGGGAGAGGCCCCTGAGGGAGAGGCCCCTGAGGGAGAGGAGCCCTGAATATTAATGTGTCTCTAAATGATGAAACAGTATCAGTGTCTTATATTCATCACAGTGAATGCAGTGAATGCTGAACTTGATGGGCCTACCGGTGGGTCCGGACCATGACATGAAACACTGGCTT